TAGCAGTAGCAGTAGCAGTAGCAGCAGCAGCATCAGCAGCAGCAGCAGCAGCAGCAGCATCAGCAGCGGCAGCAGCAGTGGCAGCGGCAGCAGCAGCGGCGGCGAGGGAGGTGGGAGGGGGAGGATGCGGAGGAGTCTGATGAACATAATTGCATAATGGCCATTATTGCTAGTCACGTGCATGTATACGCCACGGCAGATCCACGCTGCCTGCCTGGCTGCCTGGCTGGCTAGATGCCTACACGTATACATACATACCCACGCACGTACGCTACGTACGCTTGTGCTACTGCTGCTGAGTGCACGCACGCACGGCATTGCATGAAGCTGCAACAGCAGCCAGTCGAGGTAAGCTGCAGCCAGTGCTCACACATCGATCCTCCGTCGTCATTGTCAGCGTCAGCGTCAGCGTCAGCGTCGTCTGCCGAACGACCTCCACTTGTTTTATTTTAATATTTTTGTTTGACTGCAATTTTATTTAACCGTGTTGTTTTTTGTTTTATCTTTTTTTTTGTATTTATTACGTGTTTTTTTTCATCGCGTTACGTATTTGCGTGTAACTGTATGGTTTTTTTGGGTTTCGTTTTCAAGTTTGCTTTGCAGGGTCCGTTTACTCCTCTGTTTACGGTTTACGGTCCATGTTTGCGGTTGTTCGTTGTCGCTAACGTCTCGTTTCCCACTCCATCCTTGCAGGGCTCAGCGCTCCGGACCTCGCCGGCTTCGCCTCCCGACACTCCCGCCGGCTCTCGACCGACCTCGAGAACCCTCTCGGCTTCTTCCACAACGGCGTCATGGACTACCCGCCGTACGAGGAGCCGCCGCCACCCTACACCCCTTACAAGCCCCCGGACGCTCCGCCGCCGCCGTACGCGACCTACGACCCGCACCCCGCTTCCGCCGCCACGCACCACGTGATCGCGCGCGCCTCCATGGTGGAGGTCGGCGGGGGCGGGGGAGGCTATCCCGCAACGGCGCTCAGTCATAGTCTGAGCAGTTCGGAGTCGCTTTTCAATTCCTACAGGTGAGATGAGGGGAGGGGGAGGAGGGGAGGAGAGGGAGGGGAGGGGAGAGGGGAGGGCGGAGGTAGAGAAAGGACGAAGGAGGAGGAGTGAGAGAGAGCAAGAGAGAGAAAGAGAGGATGGGAAAGAAAATGAGAGAGTGAAGAGAGAGGAGAGAGCAGAGAGGAGAGAGAAGAGAGAGAGAGGAGAGAGAGGAGAGAGAGAGGGAGGGAGGGAGGGAGGAGGAGAGAGAGAGAGAGAGAGAGAGAGAGAGAGAGAGAGAGAGGAGAGAGAGAGAGAGAGAGAGAGAGGAGAGAGAGAGAGAGAGAGGCGGCCCGATGGATTTTTTGCCTCTATCGGTCAATTACAGTCTGAAAAACCGAGTGGCTTTCCGGCATTAAAAGCATTGCTAATTTCGAAATACTAGAGAAATCGAGTGAGAGGGGATCGAGCAGGGAGGGAGAGAGAGAGAGAGAGAGATAGGGGGAGCAGGGAGAGAGAAATAGGGAGAGAGAGAGAGGGGGAGAGCGAGAGCGAGAGAGAGAGAGAGATAGAGAGAGAGAGAGAGAGAGAGAGAGAGAGAGATAAGAAGAGAGGAGAGAGAGAGAGAGAGAGAGAGGGGGGAGCAGTGAGAGAGAGAGAGAGAGAGAGAGAGAGAGAGAGGAGGTGGAGAGAGCGAGCGAGAGAGAGAAAGAGAGAGAGAGAGGGGTGGAGCAGGGACAGAGAGGGAGAGGGAGAGAGAAAGAGGTAGAGAGAGAGAGAGAGAGAGAGAGAGAGAGAGAAAGAGAGGGGAGCAGGGAGAGAACGAGAGAAAGAATGCTATTAGGTTATTTCGTAATTCCTTGGTGCTGTGTTCGGTTTTCCCAGAAGAACGCCAAGATGGAAAACGATTCGTGTTGGCAGTGTGCCAAGAGTGTTTTTTGTCAATTTCTGAAATTATGCCCGGCAACGTGCGTATGTGGTGAAATTTTCGAAGGAAAAAAAGCATTCTTGCGTTCCTGTCACTTCTCATTCTTCATCACTAATATGCGTTCATATGTGTGTTTTGAGTGTGTGTGCGTGCGTGTGTGCATGTGTGTATATGTGTCAGGAGTAGATAATAGGGAAGGAGTGTGACTTCAATAAACAAGGGAAATTCGTCAATTACTAGCCTTAGAATACCTACGATGAATTTACTACGCGTAACTCATCCAACTTGAGCTCCAATCGTACACAGTACATTCGCCTAGCATCGTGCGAAATCGTTTCCTCGTATGCACCAGCAATCCGGAGATACAGACTAAAACGTACGACACGATTATCCATTTTTTGGCCATCAATCCAACCCATTCCCGCCGAACTTGCAAACAAAAGGCAGCTACTAACGCACTGTGGCTCACTCGGCGAGGCGTGTGGCTACTTGTTTATTGAAGTCACACTCCTTCCCTATTATCTACTCCTGTTATGTGTGTATGTATTATATATTTATATATATATATATATATATAAATATCATCATGTGTAACTATTACTAACTAATAATAAATTAATCATAGATAATGTGCAACTAAGCTCTCTAGCCGTAGTAACGACGTTCGCTTGTTTTCCCCGCGCGTGCAGACTGTATCCACGACGACGACCTAAGCACGAGCGGCAGCGACCTCTGCTTTCCCGAAGATTTCCTCAACTGTCCGAGCGAAGTGTCGTCCGACGACTCCTGCCACCTGGTGGACAACCCCCGTCGCACAACTCCCGCCCAACATCCCCGCAGCGCCGGTAGATGGCGGCGTGGCGGGTCGCGGCGGAGCACGGGTGCCTGACGAACAATCGCAGTTCGATGGCGAGCGTCAGGTCGCTGCGAAGCTCGTCCTCGCCCGGCAGCAGCCTGCACGGGTCCGGTCGCCTGGCGCACGGACGCCTGCGCGGCCGCCGCCCGGCAACTCGCGCCGACGACGACGCGCCGCGCGCATGACGCAGTCGCTCACTGAGGGGGCCGCCACCGTCGCACGGCGACGTGATGACCGCCGAGCGCGCGAGAACTCCGTGGCGCGCGGCGCCCGCTGTAGGCTCTGCGCGCGGCCGCCGGACGTCGTGTCGGACGCCGCGCGACAGCCGAAGTACATTGTGCAGCGCTTCCTCCACAGAGGGCGGCGGCGGTCGCGGCGAGCCCGTGCAGCTTCGCGTCGTGCGGCCGCCGCAGCGGCGCCCCCTGTCGACGCCTGCACTCGCCCGCCGGGTCGCTCGTGCCGCCGCCGCGATACACCTACGCGACTTTGTTGCAGCGCCGCCTGGCGGTCGCGACACGAGCTCTACGGCAGAACATGGCGCCCCCTGGCGGCGGGACGCCGCGGGCGGCGACGCGCGCGCGACGGCGAGCGAGCAGTTCGCTCGGCGGACGACGACGACTCCAGAGCGGCGGGCGCCACCGTACCGCACGACCGTCGTGCACGGAACGCGCGGCGGCCGAGGCGGAGGCAGGTGGCGCCGCGCGTCCGGCGTCGCCGCGGCGCGGCAGCCGAATCGATTTCCGGATCCGCTTTGACCAGGAGGTGAAGGAGAGGACAGCACAGCCGCAGCAGCAGGCAGCAGCAGCAGCAGCAGCAGCAGCAGCAGCAGCAGCGCAGAGCCGAGGAAAGCCTTCGCTCGTGCGGCGGCCAGACGCCGCCGGCGCCCCCTGGCGGCGTGCATCGCTTCGTCCATCGCGAGACGACGCGATGAGCAGGCAGCGCGCACGCGGCGACATCGGCGCCGACGCACTCGGGGGCCGCTGCGAGCGGGCGGACGCCGCCGCCGCCATGACCGCAGTTCGATCGTGAGCGAGACGGGGCGGGGGAGGTGGCGCCCTCGCGCCGCGTCGTTGCCCGCGACGACCACGAGGTGGCGCCGCGCGTCGCACGTTCGCCGTCCGTCTGCTCGGAGACGGGGGAGGAGCGTCTCCGGCTGCAGCGAGCGTCGTCGCGCCCCGCACTGCAGGGATCCATGGACCGCCTCAGCGAAGAGGGCGCCACTAAAGAGCGCGCCGCCGCCGCCGCCGCTGTCACCGCGTCCAACAACGTCTTCGTCGTTCTTTCCCCAAAGTGCGAGCAGCCCGCGCCGCCGCCGGCGCCCCCTACCAAACCCGCCGCCGAAGACGACGACGGAACGGTTGCCGCGGGAACCCGGCCGAAGCATCATCATCAACAGCAGCAGCAGCATCCGGCGGCGGAGACGGGGGTCGCCGCGGCGACGAATGACAAGGCTTCCTCTTCTTCGCGCGGTGGCGGCGGCAAGGACGGGAAAGAGCGGAAGCACCGTCACCACCGGGCGTCCGGTCACGGGGTCACCGAAAGGTCGTCATCCTCCGCCGGTCGCCGGCACGCGCGCCGCCGCCAGGAGCGCGTCGCCGCTACGACGGCCGCCGCCGACGAGACGAGCACGTCGCCGCACGAGGGTGGCGCCCCCTCGCGGGAGCGCGCGGCGAACAACGATCGGTCGGCGGCGCGGAAGCAGCGCCGGAAGGAACGACACGCGGGCGGCGAGCGGGAGAGCTCCGGGGGGAAGGCGCGGCGGCGCGACGCGGCCGGGAGGGCTGCGGCGACGGAGAGCGGCAAGGGGAAGACCTCCGGGCGCGAGACCGCCGAAACGGAGGCGAAGAGCCGGCGCCCCCTGGCGATGGACGCGGCGGAGGCGGCGCGGCGTGACGCGAAGATCGGCTCGCCGGAGAACTGGGCACGAGGGGGCGCCGCCGTGCACCACAAGGGCCGCGAGGCGCAGCAGCGACCCCTGGCGGCGCGGCGGGCGACGTCGTCCAGCAGCGAGGACTGCACGCTACGCTCCGGCGGCGGGAAGGGAGGATCGCCTGTGCGCGGACGCGCTCGCTGCGGCGGCGACCTCTATGCGGACCTTCGCGCGGCGAGCCTGATCAACGCGCGCCGCAAGGGGTCGAGCTCGCGCTCCCTCGACCACCACAACCTGCTGCTGTCGCCCGTCTCCGTCACCGACGTCTTCTGGCCGACGCCCGACGGCACGCCCGTCACCGACACGCCCCCCGGCGGCGTCGACGCGTTGCGGCCCGTGCCGCTGTCGCCGGAGGAGGAGGGGGAGGGTTGCGACGCGAACGTGTGGAAGGAGGAGGGCAGCGTGTTGCTGGGGGAGGAGACATGTGCAGGAGGAGGACGAGGAGGAGGAGGAGGAGGGGGAGACGCGAGCGGACTCAGGCAGACGAGTTTGTAACAGCTAACGCAGCTAACCGTGCGGCTAGCGGCGGTGTCCTTAACTTTGTTGATTTCACATATTGTGGCGCCCCCGCCCCCAACTACAGTGGCGCCACCCCGACCATAGTGGCGCCCCCCGACCATAGTGGCGCCCCCCGACCATAGTGGCGCCCTTATTCGCAGTGGTGTAATAGTGGACCAGCCAAGCGGAGAGGGTTTGTGTACCAACCTTTTGCGCCCACAACAGCAGCAGTGCTATTCTCTACAGCGGTAGCGCCATCTACAGTGGTGCTATCTCCTACAGTGGCGCCCTCCAACGTGGTGGTGCCGTCTACAGTGGCACCATCTACAGTGGTGCCGTCTACGGTGGCGCCATCTACAGCGGTGCCCCGTAACGCAGTGGAGCCATCGCCTATAGTGGCCTTTGCACGCGAGTGTTTTTTAGTCGCGCGTGAGATCTGCTGAAACCTCACTTCTCTGCGAACCATAACGTCCGTCGTCATCGGAGCCTCCCGTGGCGCCCCCTATCTCCAACCTCCAGAATCTCCTGCTCTGTGGCGCCCTCCCGTGGCGATGACAACATTTGAGAGGTTCTATGGTGGTTCCCATGCAGGTTTTTATCTGCGGAACCCGCTTTTTTTATTTCTAATCGAGGTCAGGTTGGAAGATTAGCAAGCTTGACCTCAAGGTTATTCCTTCTAATAAATTAATAATTACTAATTACTGTGTATAATGCAGTAGGGTCGCATGGCGCCTAAGAGACATTTGACGAAAATTTGGAGGAGGAATTTCGAGCCAAGAATTTCACTTCACGGCCAGTTAAGGAGCGACCAAATGAGAGAGCAGCCAGGGAGGGAGTTTGCTGTTTTGTTTATCTTCCAGAGTTTATATTATTTATTACCACGCGCCTGTGGTAGTGGGCATTTTATCAAACCACGGTGGCCATCTTTGGTCGACCATCTTTGCATGTGGCCATCTTAAAGGCAGGGACTCATAGCGCGCAAATTGATTGTTTGTAGGTGGCGCAATGGTTTTCGTCTGGCACGAAACTCGCCGTGAAACTGCGAAGACTGATAATTTTTTAGTTTCGGTCCACTAGATGGCGATACAAGCGATATAAATCTATGATCTCCCATTTTTGGTTGGCTGCACTAGATCATTAGCAACCAGCAAGTCCAGCAACAACATCTGTGGAGTAAAATTGCTGTATTTGTCGGACATTTTGAATCTCGATTGCGCAAACGGAGGTTTTTAAATCTAACGTAGTGGAGTACTTGGCTTTTCACCTTTTTACCTAATGTATGCTATGATGTATCATCGATACACATATATATATATATATATATAGATGTATATATATGTATATGTATGTTTATATCTATATATATATATGTATATCGTTGAGGAACTATGTTATTAATGCTCGTCACGCATGCGCACATGTCACAATAGATGTACGAATGGCGCCTTCATCGTCGTTAGCGATTATTCACCGTTGCTGGCAGTCTTAGCCGGCTGCGTGCTGGTGGCGGCGTTGTTAGGGTGACGGTAGGCAAAGAATTCCATTAAATTCATTCAAAGGAATCTCATTAGTTGATTGACTTTGTGCGCGCGCTATCACAGGCACTTGGAAAGTTTTGATAATGAAATTATGGTAAATTAAACACGAAATGTTTAGCACAAACAACAAGAATAAAGAGTACACAACAACAAGAATAAACTCTTTATTCTTCTTGATTGTGCACAGCAGCGTGCGTGCGGTGCACATGTGTGTTGCAGAGAAGCTTTTGAACGGCATTTGCAGGTAATTATCAGTAATAATAGGTGAAAGAGAGTAGAGAAACGTTAAGACTTTGGTAGGAAATAGATTTCGTGTTTATTTACCATCATTTTGTTGTTGAAACGTACCAAGTGCATGTGCGCTCGAAGTGTCAGCGTGTGTGCGTGCGGTGGTATCGGTTCGTGGTCGTGTCACGGTGTTGTGATCGTGTCACGGTTCGTGGGCGTGTCACGGTTCGTGGGCGTGTCACGTCTGATCGTGTCACGGTGTTGTGATCGTGTCACGGTTCGTGGGCGTGTCACGGTTCGTGGGCGTGTCACGTCTGATCGTGTCACGGTTCGTGGGCGTGTCACTGTTCGTGGGCGTGTCACGGTGTTATGATCGTGTCACGGTTCGTGGGCGTGTCACGGTGTTGTGATCGTGTCACGGTTCGTGGGCGTGTCACGGTGTTGTGATCGTGTCACGGTGCGTGGGTGTGTCACGGTGTTGTGATCGTGTCACGGTGCGTGGGTGTGTCACGGTGTTGTGTTCGCGTAGTATCTCACATTGAGTTAGACGCTTATCACGCTCGTTCTTATAAATTACTTACATGTCACTCATTGTGTCGTTGTTGTTGTTGTACAGTGCTAATGGTTATGTAAGTGACAGATGGATAGATAGATAGGTAGATATATTTACACGCGCGTGTATAATTAGTAGTGAATTTGTAGATGCTGCGAGTGTATGTGGGGGTGGGGGGTGTAGATATAGTATAGTATAGTATAGTATAGTATAGTATAGTATAGTATAGTATAGTATAGTATAGTATAGTACACTATAGTATACTATCATATAGCAGTGCATAGCATAGCAAAGCAAAACATAGCATGGCATAGTATAGTATTGCACAGCACAGTGCAGCCCAACACAGTCGGTTACGATATAGTACAGTATGCAGTGAGATGTAAACCTTCGAAACGGGGCTGAAAGTAATTCGCTTCTGTCAGTGGCACCTTTAGTTCACTTTGACCTTGAGCAGATTTCCCTGGTGCTCTATAACTCAGCGCGTAAGTCATGTCGTGCAAGCACACTTCATATACTTACACACGTTGTGGAGAAGGTCTGATGCGTAGCAAAAGTTCGACATATTTCATTCATTGTAGATCGTGGGGGATACATGTCATTGGCGACAAGTGCGCTTTCAACTTTTATATACATGTTCTGCATGTGATATGATTCATTCATATCAATGATATGATTGGTTCATGCATGCATATTATTGATATAATGGACGTAATGTCATTTGCATGTAACAAATGATATTGGTAAGTTGAAGTGTTTACAACTTGGATTACTTTCTGTGTTTTACAGTTCTTGCATGTTCAAAATGACAATTTCAATTCTCATCATTCGCAGCTGCTGCATTACTAACGTGCCTTTCACTTCTCTGCTTTGTAGGATGTTCAGAGTCGAGAAAGATGTGGAGATGTGCGTGGTTGCAATGCAGTCCCACAATTGCCGCAACAACAGCAGCTGCCATTGCCTGTGTCTGTGATTAATGCAGCTGCAGAATTGCCAGAAGAAGAGCAGCAGCCGTTGGCTGTTATTGCGGAGGATGTCGTGGTTCGTCATATAAACAATGATGTAGTGGGGCACATAGAACAGCCTGTAGTAGATGTCATACTCGTGATTGATGCTTGTAATGTTTGCCATCGTTGCACAACACCATCATACACACTGACGTTGATGCCACTTACGCTTGATGAGGCATGTCATCGCTTCAGCCGGCGTACCTTTGGTGATAAAACAGGCATGGTTGAAGGACGTTTGGCATGTACATTGCGTACCTTGTATGTATGCCCACGTACACCCAGTGAAAAGGAAAGCCCTTCTTGGAAGTATGCCTGGCCTGCTGTCATCTGGACTTGTTTGACAAAACGTCAGTATGCTGATGCTAACAGTTTTATGTCGTTTCTGTCTTCCGAAATTCGCAGCAGCTGGATTCATTGCGTTGATGAGTCGTTGCCAGCCATGCAAGAACACAAAGATAGGCAGCCTAACTTTCGTGATGTTACGACCATACTGCGAACATTTGTCGATGACATTGCGAGTGGTCAGCTAGCTGTCACGGTTGGTTGCGGCACTTGACAGAACATGCTTCCCAGAAGTTCGATGTCCGATGGGATGCTACTTATATATGGATGACAAAGTTGGTGAGAAATTGCAGCTGTTGCCTGCTTCGCATTACCTGGCAACAATCATTCCCAAATTTGTGGCATTTCACGCCCAAGTCAGCTACTTTCTTGGATACCGCCGTTGCGATGATCGAACAGTTGGCAATACTCTATGCACAGTCTACACTTTGGAATGATTTGCGTGTATCGCACACGGACAAGTTATCGATGATCAGCAATCAGTGATTGACGATAGCAGTGATTGATGATATCAGTGATTGCCGCGCTGCTGATTTTCTACGGTATCACTCGCCGCCCAATCGATTTTAGATTTTACATCTGACGAGATGAACGTATATATAGATAGGTTAATCACACGATTTGTTTTTTTAAAGTCGAGATGCTACGATTTTACGGCCGAGGCCGACTTAATTCTAACTTATTTCTAACTGGCCACGCGATAACTGCATGCATGTTTTTAATCGAGGGCGCAACAGTCGCGTGTCGCGTTTGCGCATTTTCTGGTTACGTCCTACGCATTTTCTGGATACGTCATGCGCAAGAGGATGAGAGTATTTTCGAGGTTTTTCGACACATTTTCGACCGGCGAGCCTTTTTCAGAGCGTTATTGGTCTCGTTTTCGTATTTGGTAGAAGGTGAGCGTTTTCTGCGACTGGCTAGTTGAAAGTTTGTTGTGTAGTGTCGAGCGTTGTCGCATATTTTATCATCGGGGTGTGTGTGTATTGAATCATTACATTTACAAAGCCGTCTGCTCTGCACATAGCCCGACCAGGCTGTGCGACCGATTGTCTATACCGATTGTCGATTGTATAACTCTAGCAAGACCGTTTCTTGGAGCTACTCTGCACACTCTGCAGCAGCAGACGACGCTTTGCCGTAGAAACCATCATGATCAGATGCTATTCCAGACAATTTATCGGTCAAGGTCCGTAATACTTGACGTGGTTTGCGTGGGACGTACTGCGCAGTGAAATTATCTCTCCCTGAAAAATCGTTACTCACCCACGGGGAAAATTAGATGGAGAAAATATACGCCTTATTTTAATATGCTCTCGCTCGGTATGTGAATTTCTCGCCTCCCATCAATGGTATTTAAGTATCTATGATTTTGTCATGCTTCGCTTCTCTCTTGCTGACACTTTGCTCTTTTTCCTTGTGCGTTGTCAGTTCTGCCCATGATCCTAATCTTTATCCCTGTCTCCCCCTTCATCCCTCTTCCTCTCCCCATCCCTGTCTCTCCCTCCCTCCCTCTTCCTCTCCCCATCTCGTACTCTGGCTCTCTCTTTCTCTAACCTGTATCTCCCCCATCCATCTCCCCTTTCTTTCCCAAACCCGAGATATGAATTGTTCGTGCTGTTGAGGGGTAGGATTCTCATGCTGTGGCTTTGTAAGATGCTAGTGTAGCTGGTCAGGGTAGGCAGTCCGTGCCTACACATGTCGTGTGACGTCATAACCTTATCCATCTCCGCCGTATCGGTTGGTGCCCATCGTGGGACTGATGGTCGACACAATACGCATATATACATAATTATATACATATATATATATAAACACGTTACCGTATTTTATTTCATTATTGAGTATGTTTCTTTTATACTTTTACAAAATGCAGTATATACATTGTACACCGTGTGTATATTAGTGCTTATAGAAATGAGGTGAAATATAAGTGAATTAATTAACAGAGACTGACTGCGTGGTATTGATTTGGTATCATATGTTCGTCTTGTCCTTCCGGGAATCTGCAGAATACGTGATGCTGCTGCTGTGCTGGATTCATAGAAGCTATTGATAATAGAGTTGTAGTAGAGAAGGCATATTATAACCAAACGCTAATATTACATTATGTACTGTTACATTATGTGCTATATATACATTATGTACTATATATACATTATGATACATTATGTACTATATACATCATGTACTAATATATTATGTACTATATACATTATGATACATTATGTACTATATACATTATGATACATTATGTACTATATACATTATGTACTATATGCATTATGTACTATATGCATTATGTACTATATACATTATGATGAATTAGGTACTTATGCTACATGTATTATTAGCTTTTCACGTCGTACATTGTATTTCTGCGGTTGCAACTCCGCTTATTTCGTTTTGCAATTCGTGACTTCATTTCATCAGCCGCCGCATTTATCGCAAATGTCTGCATTTTATCGCGCGCTCCGCATTCCAGATATCTCGCGTGGCAGCAAACTGTGTCACACCCATAGAAATACATATAAACACATATAAGCCTCGTCTACACGACGAACCTTAACTCGAGTGAAGCTAGCGATTATGTAGTGTCTACACGACAACATCCGATAGCGATTATTACCGATTTATTATGCATGCGTGCGTGCGTGTGTATGTAAACGTGCGTGCGTGTGCACGTATACGTGCGTGCGTGCGTGTGTGCGTGTGCACGTATACGTGCGTGCGTGTGCACGTACACGTGCGTGAATGCGTGAGTGCGTGCGTGTGCACGTACATGTGTGTGCATGCGTGCGCACGTACACGTGCGTGCGTGTGCACGTACACGTGCGTGAAT